AAAAAAAAAAAAAAGGAGAATGAGAAAGACAGAAACTGATCTTCTGGCATTTTGCAAAGGAGACGTTCTGCATGTGAGATCACAGATTTGTACAACAAATATAGTAAAATATATAACATGCAGAAAAAAATCTAATTTGAATGAATATCAGCTACACTAAGACTCAAAGAAGTGATGTATAAATAATATGAATGATTTGGCTTATTACAGAGAAAAAAAAAAAAGCCTAGATATGTTACTTCAACAGAAATTTCTTACCTTTTATAAGCTGTGTTGCAGATTTGAGGACACTGTTTCTTTTTGCTCATTTGAAAAACCACCCGAAGAGTGGTAACAGTTTTGTATGGAGACCAACTGTGAAGTGAGGGAAGGATGGAAAAGGAGGTGTCTTGCAGCCTTTCAACTCTCCAATTTTGTCTAAGCAGAGCAGGATCTCTTGGCTGAAAGTCAGAGCAGCATAGTTTTGATTACACGGTAATACTGAAGCAGGTTGTTATAGGAGTAACAGGTCCTGCTGCAATCCCACACATTTTGCAAGGCAGACCTAGAGCTGTGGAGGGAAGAGCCCTGGCAAGATACTCTCCCCCAGACTGGGGCTCTTCCTTGTGCCTTCCTGGGATTCAAAGCTTGAGTTATCCTGGGATGGCTGCTAGTTTCCCAAAGTTGTAATCCATAAGGCCTTTCAAAATGAAACTTTAGGGACTGAAAGGAGGAACTTGAGCAGCATTACAGCTACAAGGCACACTCTGATCTTGCAAAACCTGGTCTGGCAGCTAAGCAGCAGCAGCAGAATTGACAACTGGGCCTGCGAAGCTGCCCTGAGCACCTCTTAGCCAGGGAGTGCACTGCAGCAGCAAGGGAGGAACCTCTTGAGATGCTGAACTGGTGAAGCTACATATGTAGCAAAATGGGAATTCATGCAACCGACAACGCGCTCTGTCCAAGAGGGAACATTTCCTGCACATCAGTGCTTTCCTGAGGCCGCATTAAGCTCTAGGCTGCCTCAGAGTCCACAGGCCTGCGGTTCACCTAGCTGTGGCGAATGAAGAAAAGATGAGCAACAAATTATACTTGTACCAGGGATTTCCATGCACTTGGAAGGAATGAGACGGGTGCGGTCACAATCCGCCTGCAGGAGAATGAACAAGAACATGTGCATCATTTGCATCCTATGGAGCACACCCATAAAACCAACCTGGCCCGTCCCCCTTTGGGGCAGGAGAATTCTCCAAGCTCTCCGGCTTTGTGCCTGAGAGTCAAGGGCCCGAGTGGGAGGCTGGTTTGAATGCCTGCATGTTCTCCAGGCCCACCGGCATTATGTCAGAGTTGGATGAGGAGACCCACTTCTTTAAGATTTCAGCATGTCATTTTGCTTTTAAATATACTGAAATTGCATTTACATTCCAAAATAAGTTACAGGTTAATAACTTAATTTTAACCTTGCAACTGAGCAGAAATCAAGCTTACTATATCCTTCAATTATGCTCTGGCAACATATGCATACCACTTTAATTTTTCTCATGTTATCCCTCAAAATATTCCTGCATATTTACCTGTATCTTGACTTTAACTGTCCCAGTATTCTTTCCTCAAGGTTTACACCACACTGCAAATTGGAATTTCCCCCATTCATGTTCAAGTCTGTCAGCTCATATTTAAGTGCTGACAGGATAAGCCTGCCTACTTAGCAAAACAGATTAGAAAAATGAATCATATCTGAATGAACATACAATAGTTTTATCTGGTCGCAGTACAAAGAATAACACCTAGAGAACACAAAAAAATACTTAAAGTATTTAGCAAACGAAGTCCCAGGATATCTCATATGCAAACAAGCCAGACTTCCCCCCTCTCTATCAAGAAACCACCCTAAGCAGCTAGATGGTATGTGTTATGCTATACCACATTACAGTTCTGCACAATCCCAACTTCCACAACCGCACTACTCAGCACTCCTCCAGTTGTCTCAACTGCACACATGTACTTAATGCTTATGCATTTCACCTGTTTATGCAAATACTCAGCTACAAAAATTCCAACAACCCCTCTGAAACAAGTGCGTGCTTTTGCAAAGAAATTGCATGAAGATATAAAAAGTGCATAAAGTTGAGTAGCTTTATTGTAGTGGTACATATAAGTTTGAATAATTTCCTTATGCAAAGCTGAAAGAGGGCCTTTCCCCTGTTTCTTCAGCAACCACAGCAACTGTATTTGAGGAAAGGGTATGCTTATCCTATCACTGGAAATCCCTAATGTTAAAGTATTAGAGGGGAACTGGGAGTTCTGAAAAGATACAACATTTATGGTGTCCTTGTAACATGGAGATGGTGGGGGGGTGGGGGCATAGCTGTGCTGAAAGGCAAAAATGCCTGTTATTCTTGCAAGTAAAAGCAGCCAAAGTTACTTTTTTCATGAGATGATTTTTTTCCAGAAGCGATACCACTTATATGTACTACACCATTTTTCCTGTGATAGTTGTACTTAAAAAATGTTGATACATCAACAACAGGGTACATACATATCAGTGCACTGACATTAGCCCAAATACTAAAACTTCTTAAAACATATTAAAAAAAAAAATGTTGCATAGTATCTGCTAAGGGCCTGAAAGTCATACTCATAACATACCTCAGTTTACACTCATGGAGGATTTTAGTTAAAACTGCTGGCACCTCTTAATGCAGATAAATCCAACTCTTTTTCTTCTAGTTACTTAAGGAGATCTATTTGGAAACTCAAGATAGAGCAGAGTGACGGTAATTATTTATTTTTTAAAGCATTCTTGCCTGCCCTGGCACAACTGCACAAGTTGAAAGGATGCCCTTTTTCTAACTCTTGACTACACAGACTGAGAAAAATTGTAGTAGTTCAGCAAGTGTATTTTAGAAGCTCTTGTGTTTATAAAGGAAAGTGGAATTCTGGCTTGCTTAGTCACATAGAAAGTACCTTTTCTACTACTTAGTTCCTCCCACTTCCAAATGAATGTTCCTTTGTACCAGGCAGGATGATGACTCATACCTTTGTAAAGCAAAGGTTAGGGGGCAGATGCAACAGGCAGGTTGAGTGTTCCTGTAACATTCTGTATTTTAGCTGTAAGTATCTGACAGTTATTCATAGCCAAGATGATGAAGTGATTTTCAAGGTGTGGCCAGTAAATTCCTGGTGCTACAGCGTATAAAGCGTAACTGGTGCGGGAGACCGGTTACCTGTTCTGGTCCGCAGCTTTCCAACCCTGTTTGCAAACCACATATAAACAATAACTGCGGTAACGCCACAGACTATATGTAACAAAGAAAAGGCCCCTGCAAGACCTTCAAATATTGAAGACTTCCTCCCACAAAGGTAAGTATTACATCTTTCAGTCAGATACAGCTGGAGAGAATGTAGCAGTTTCAGAAAGGACATGCTGGTAGGGCTGCTAGGGGGTACCTCTGAATACTGAAACACAAGAAAACAGAAGATTTGGAGGTAAATTTAAGGATTAATTAAAGGATTAATTTAAGGATTTAAGGATTAATTATTGACTCTGACTCATATCTCTTCTCTTCCTCATAGTTGATGAAAACATCAGCTTTAATGAAAGGTAATATATAAAAATATACATGCATTGCACAAGGATAAAAGCAACATAGACTTAAAAAAGATTTAATTTCACATAAGAAATTAAAATGATGCATTAGTGAAAACATGTAAATGAATATTTTAGTAGTCAAAATAAATATTTAATAAAAACATTCTCAACAAAATATAAAAACAACAGGCCTTGGTACTGTATTTGGAAGTAGATTATCGCATTTCCTTATGTCAAATTCCCAAATTCAGTGGCTTAATTATTATTTTATTGCCCTCAGCAATGGCTAATCATTACTTAGATTAGTTATGTGAGTCATGAGACCAAAAATAGTGTCCCAATGACTGACATAGTAAAGCCAGTTTACTATAAACAAGGAATAATTTACTACACCGAGGAGTCAATCCACAGTCATCAATACAAGGTCAGCAAACACTACTGCATAGCATACTGGTTACTGTACCAAAAATGCATTTTTCAGCATTCATTGAAGTGGGGAAAAAGTGGTAAAAACTCCTATTATTTTTTACATATTTAAAAAACAACCAGCTGATTGACAGTTAAAGAAAAACATAACATTTCTTTTAAAAGTAAAAGCATAGTCTAAAGATCTTAAGAGCACCGTAAGATTTCTATCCCAGGAAACAGTACAAACCATTAGGATTGTAAGTAAAGAACAATTAAAAGATTATTATATCATCCCATATTTAGAACACAACTGAAAATCTTAGTGTGCTGCACTAAGTTGCATCATCCTCTGATCTAACACACACGTAGTACAACCAACAGTATTTTATTGACTTTTTAAAAAGCTCTGGAAGAAAATAATGCCAAAAAGATGTTTTTCATGTATAATTTAAATGCTGATGTGTAACTGAAATGTAGAAAATACTGCTGCTTTTCCCAACATCAACCTGTTTGTATCCGGTTTAATTAGCTCTTTCACTGATTCTTTGAAAATAATGTTCCTGGATATCCCTGGCTACCAATAATTTTTATGAGTGCTACTTTTTCACTGTTGAAAGTTTCTGTGTTCATATTATTCACAACCCTTCCTTCCTTCTATCCGTGTCTCTCACACTTTTAAGTGGTGGTTTTCGAAAATACAGCACTGAAAAACTACTTTTTGCTGCTCTAAGTGATATGCAGTTGACATGATTTCTGTCTTCAAAGCACTGAGTCCAATTTCCAGGTGGATCACACATTAAACACCTTAATTAAAAATAATGCTCTCTCCCTACTGTGTTCTGACATGAAAAAGGCTATTCGCCATTCAATATACGTTCAATCTCTTCCAGTCTTTTCAAAGCAGCAACTCTTTTTTTCTCAATGTCTTTGATTTCTTTTGTAGATTTTTTGGGAGTCTCTTTCTCCATATTGTTTTTCTCTGTTCGTTTCTTATTTTTTAACTGCCCTTTATTTATTGCTGCTTGGATGGTTTTCTTCTCATTTTTTACTTCTTTCGAATTTTCAAAAGATTTTCTTTTTTCTTCTACAGCTGCAACCCCATCTGCTGGGAGTGACGACTGTTCTGCAGCACTGAGCGATGCAATTTTACTCCTGACTATGTTTAGGTGACGCTGAATATATTCCTCATGAGGTGCCAATGCTAGAGTTTCAACCAAACATTTTTCTGCTTTCTTTAAGTCTCGCTCTTCAAAGTAAACCACACAAAGATTATGTTTTCCTTGTACATTGTTAGGATCCAGTTCCAGAATTTTTTCAAAACACTTTCTTGCACCACTTATATCTTTCTTTTGGTTCATTAAAATATCTCCTTTTAAAATCAGACCTTTGGTATGATCAGGGTAATATTTCAGTAAGTCCTCCAGGATGGGCAGCGCCATCAATTCTTTTGCTGTCTGAGAATAAAGCAGTGCCAAATTGAACAAAGCACTTCGGAAATTTGGTTGTAACCTTATTGCTTTCTTCATCCAAGCCTCTGCTTCTGTATCTTTTTTGTCATCCATTGCCAGCATACCCAAATTGAAGTAGCCGTTTGCATCCTGGGGTTCTTCTTTCACATAATTTAATAGTCTTTGTTTAGCTTCAGGTCTAAGCCGAGCATCACCTAAATGACAGAAAATTATAGATTTATTTCTGAATAATTTTTAGACCAAGACTGTCAAGTGTTAAGGTTTACACATATTAAAATGAAAGATATTTAGTACAACTGTAAAAGGCAAAGAGCTTAAAAATACTACTTTTCTTTGTTGGATAACAGCCTTTTATAAAGATGTATTTCTCTTCTTTACAGAGCAAAGCTACTCACACTTGACTTGTAGCCAAAATCAGCATCATTACCCTATTATTTCTTGACTTTAATTTTTTTACAAAATATGAAACAAATAAAGGTGTCTCCACATACTTAAGAGATTATTTTCATGTATGATTAAGTAACTGGAATGGAGAAAATACATCAGTTTTGACAAATCAGCTCTCACGGAGACAAACTTGGAGTGAAAGATCATGTTGTAAAAGATATATCAATTGTTTTTTTTTTTTTTAAACCAGAGATCATATAGGACAAATTTAAATTGAGCCTTTTTTTTTTCCTCCTAAATCAATAAGCTGAAATATTTCCCTTGTTTTACTTTTGCCTCAAAAAAAACCAAAACATCCCAATAAGCAAGACTGTAAAGGAATAATTGTTATACCTTGCCAATGTGTTTTATCACTACAAAGGCAAATCTTTTACAAAATATGTGCAAGACTGATGACAATGTTTTTTTGAAAACAGATTGTATATGAACAATTTTGAAAAGTCATTTTGTGCAAGACTACGTTCTTTATAAATGTTATAATACAAAACACAATTTGTTTCAAAAGTACTTATCGGTCAGCACACATGTACACCTTGGAGATGTCATAAAAGTCTATAAAGATGACTATCACAATAAACAATTTCTTCTTTGGTGTTTCTCTAAATGCAATCAAGAGTGATCCTATGAACTTCTGTTTCAAAAAAAACAAGTCAAATCTTAAAAAGAAAAATAGCATGCATTGTAGGAATGCAAATACACAATGCTTATTTCAGGGACAAACAACATACCGGATTCCTGCATTAGTAGTGCCGAGTTGAACAATGCCAGTTTATGCATCGGGTTCAGCTCAAGTGCTCGGTTGAAATTCTTCAGAGCTTCTGTCGGATCTTTTAGTTCAATGTAAACAATTGCCAGATTGTACCACAGGTCTGCATTCATTCTATCTAATTCTAGAGCTCTAAGATAAGCTTCCTTGGCTTTCAGAGGTTTGTTCATTTTTAGAAGCAATTCTCCCCTGTTGAAGAACGAAATTTTACTTTTAACAACTTTCACTTGTAACAAAACGAAAACAATTGACTTTTTTTTTTTTTTTTTTAAATGCGCCTTCTTAAAGGTATTAGATGCAGTAATTCTTCTTCCTTTTGTTTTAAAGGCAAAAGGACACAGGATGTTGTTTCTATACCATTCCCTAAAGCTTTTACCTCCTCAAAAATCCATATAGAAGGGTACATCCAAGGTGGAAAGGGAGTGGGAGCAAGGCAGCAGGGGAATCAGCAGGGCAATCAGCAGCTACAGTCTAGGCTTCTTTGGACCCCGGGCCCC